ACATGGTATTATTTTTTTGTTTAGGTCGGTTGAGTCTGGCTTAATCAAGAGTTTTATTTTAATAATTTAAATTATTTAATATATAAATTTTGTTAAATATTTTATTTTTATAAAAATAATATTGATCAAATATTGATAGTCATTCGATCAAATTATATTTTTGTTAATAGTAAATATAATTTTAAAAATAAATTGTTGACAAAAATTTTATCTGATCAAATACCTATCGATATTCATTCAATGTAATTTTTGTATTGAACAATTCAAATAATCAAAATGAGATCTGTTATAAATCCTACCAATCTAATAACACTATTTATACACTGAAGAGAAGCCTTACATTTTATTCATCATTTTATTTGTTATAATCACATTGATTGAATCAATCCTGTCATGTATGTAATTAATACATGACACAACACTTGGTAAATAAAATGTGGTATGTAAAAAGAATAATGTTAGAGATAAAAAAATAAACTTAAAAAATATATATGTATTAAAATTTTGACATGTTTATATGATTTTTTTGTTTTGTTTTGTTTAGGGCAATTTGTCTACTTTTTATTAGAGCATCCGTATCAGTTCCTCTAAAATGACTTTGAAGCTATTGTATAGAGCAAAAGTTGTAAATATCAGCTCTATCAGTCTCTTTATACCCTTCATTCATTTTGTGAATGTTACAGTGCCTCAACTGATTTGTTGAGGTACTGTTCATACAATAATCTATTTTTTATCATATTTTCTAGAGTAAAGTTGGGCTAAAAAACCATGGCAGGTCGTTCACCCGGATGTCCTGTGAGCACCCAAATTTGGCCTAACCCAGTCGACCGGCCGACCGACCCCCCCTCAATGGGTTTGGCCCTCCTATGCTGCTGCTGCTGTGTTGTTGTTCTGGTGTTGATCTGTTACTGTCTTGGATCTTGTTTATACTTATTTGTTCATAATATTTTAATGAAATAGAATTTTAAAATAGAGAATTTGATGAAATGTATAGACTAGCTAAAATATAAAAATAAATTTTGAGTTATAATTTAATTTAAAATTTATTAAGACTAATACGGATGCCCTTAGCCCGTAAGAGAGGCAGCCCACTGGGCTACCCACCGTGCCAACACATGAATCCATCAAATTATATGAAAAAATGGTAAAAAAAATATATGCCTTAAAATCAGGCCCGACCTTAGTCGTATTTCAAATTCTAAATCTACTCCCAACTCAATTCTCATTCAGATTGAGTTGGCCCACTCAGGATACAGACTCAAACTTGGGCTAGGTACGAAAACTGCCTGCCCGAACAGATTTTCTAAAAAAATGGCCTATATTTATGGTGGGTCTAGTCTACAACCCATTACAACCCATTAACTTTTAAATGTATCTCTTATACTCACTTTTTGAGCAAAATTCAAAATAAATTTTCATGAATCATGACACTTTTTGTTGTATTTAAGGAGATTTAGGTGCAAATTTTAATAAGCAAATTTATTATTTAATAAGTTTCATAAGAATTAATAGCATTTTTTATTAAATATTATTAAAAAATATCATTAATTATTAATTTTTAATTACAATTTAAAAAAAATTATTAAAAATGTCACTAATTATAAATTTTAGTAATAATTTTAAAAAATTATCATAAAAAAGTCATTAATTTCAAACTTTCAGTGATTATTCAAAAAATTCGTTACAAAAAATATTACTAATTATAAGTTTTATAGAAAATCAATAAAAATCGTGACAAAAAAATTATTTACTATTAATTTTTAACGTTACTGTATTTAAAATAACGACATATATAAAATATTACTAAAAAAATTATTTTTAATAAAGATTTTATTAAAATTTATTTTCAATAAAATTGAAAATTAAATACAACTATTAATAATTTACCTATAAATTTGGGCCCTCTATCCAAGAGTTGTGTGTCTGCCACTGCAGCAGTACAACAATGATTTAAGTTGGGACCATATATATGTCATCCCCTCCATCGAAGATCTAAATGTGACAAAAATTAAAAAAAATAAAAGACAGTACAACAACAATAAGCAGGGCATGCATCATGTAGCCCCCACCAAACGAGTGAGGATCCTCTCCTTGCAGCTTTCGTGCTTGCGCCCATCTTTGCAAGTCTTCGGGTCTACTTTTAGGCCCAATTTTGAAAATTCGAACCGTTCATATTTTATGATTTATTTAGTATATTATACCTGTAAAAAATCAAGTTGATCGGATATCAGAATGCATATGTTCGGAAAACTGTTTATTAAATTCTTTAAAAAATAGTGTTTAGTTCAATTTTTTAAATACATACTTTCTGATATCCGATCAACTTGATTTTTTACAGGTATGATATACTGAATAAATAATAAAATATAAATGGTTCGGATTATTAAAATTGGGCCTAAAAGTAGACCCGAAGGCCTGCAAAGACGGACGCAAGCACAAGCTTGCAAGGAGAGACTCTTGACTCCAACGTACCGAGAGCTACTTAGCCTCTATCTGGGAAGAGGTTTTTTAGGGTTTTTTTTTTTATTAAAACAGTCCTAAAAGATAAAATAAGTTATTTTAATCATAACAAATAAAATAGGGCAAATTACATATACACCCCTCGAGGTTTGGTAAAATTACAGATACCTCCCTGAGGTTTCGGAAATTACATCCCGCCCCCTGAGGTTTGTATTTTCATAACAATTTACCCCCTGAGGTTTATATTTCATAACAAATTACCCCCTAATTTCTTATGTAAATATAGCATTCAGGGGGAAATTCGTAATTTCTCAAACCTCAGGGGGGTATTTGTAATTTAGCCAAACCTCGAGGGGTGTATATGTAATTTGCCCAATAAAATATCACATTTAATTCATAATCATTATATTTTTTTTTTATAAAAAAAGTTAAAAAGTTAAAAAATTCTTTACAAACTAAGCTTTTTAATCCAGACTAAAATAACTAAAAAAATCAAAAATCCAACCCACTTCCTAAACCAACCCTTACTAAGTTTTATCTCTCATGACATATCATCGGGGTGTTTTAAGAAGTTAGTAAAAAATTAGTTTTTGGTTTTTTATCAAGTATTTTAGTTTTTTGAAAAGTGATTTAAAAAATTAGTAAAAAGTTAATTTTTGACTTTTTAGTTTAATATTTGTTTATGGTGTTAAATCAAATTAAAATGATCAAAATACCCTTACCTAATATAAGAAATTTATTTTTTTATTTTTTTATCATAGGCTCCAATTTGTAATTTCACACTTGCGTTTTTGTAACTTCCCAAACTAATTTTGTTACGTTTATGCCACTTGCGTTTTTGGACCTATTGACAAAAACGTGGCTTTTTATTTTGGTTCCTAAAACGACACGATATCGAGCGAATGTTAGAGATACTTAAATTTTTTATTAAATAAATGATCAAATATTTTACATGATTATAAAATTTATAATTTTATAAATTTTAGATATTTAATTATTTATTTAGTAAAATTTGAAATTTATAACATTTTTCTATGATATCTAATTGGGTTTCTCCCTAAAGTTTAAAATTTAAATTTCATTGTAGTATTAGGGCTAGTGGAGTTGGTATGGGATTTTTTTAATGATTCAGATCTCATTTGAGAATTGATTATTTTAGTAATTTTTTAATTTTTAATTAAATTATAAAATAAAAAAATTAATTTATTTTGAATGATTCTTTAATTTTTTATAAAAAGACATACAAGAAGTAGAAAAAAATTTTTTGACTTTTTAATATAAGTTATGAACTTTTTTATTTTTTTAGTAATTTTTTGACTTCAAACTAAAAGCGTTACATGCCAAACGAGATCTCAAATTATTCATTTTGTAAAGTGTTTTGTGTGTATTATTTATGAAAAAATTAAATTTATCTGATAATCATAATATTTTTATTTTATAATATTTATTTTTTAAAAAAAAATGAACAATGAATGAGTTTTTTTAAAGGGGAAATAAAAACTTAGTGGAGGGGTTGAAAAAAAATGCAAAATAATTGTAAAATTTATAAATTTTAATTATTAAAATCATAAATTCTTCGATACGTAGGTAATTATTTTGAAAAATACATCTAATTTTTAATTTTTTATTTTTAAAATAAATCATCCATTTTTTAAAATTAATGTGATAAAATGAAAATATTCTAATTATTGAATTGATATAATTTTTTTTAGGAATGATCTTGAGGGAGAATTTTACCAAATAAATGATATGAATTATTGAAACACTTATGGTGAGCCCCACAAGCCTTGACATAACAATCAAATTCAGATTTTGAATTTGAAAAAATCTCCATCATATCTATTATATGAAATTTTTATAAGTTTTGTAATTACATTGTTTTTATTGATTAATTTAGATTAACAATAAATATACCATTACTATTTTGGTGACAAACAAAACACTACTCTCCCTTTTAATAAGATTAAATAAATTAAAATTAATATAAATAGTATAAAGACACAAATAAAAGAATGTAAAAGGAATGACAATATTAATTTACAAAATAGAGATGAAAAGATAGATATGCTACGTGCATTAAAACTTTAAAATTGTGTTTAAACTATAAATTGTGTTTAGACTATAAATTTGAATATAAATTTAAAAAAATAAAATAAAATTGTGAGGGTAATATAAGGATAATAAAGCTAAGAAAAACTTTAAAATTATAATTCAAATAGGTGACAGAAACACAATATTAGAAATTTGGAGTACACTAAAATAACATATTTATTATTTTTTCATATTTGTTGAGTCACATCATTTTTTCATATTTTTACATATCTTTTGTGTAATTTACTCTTCTTTATTTATCATCATTTTTCACATCACCTCTCCGAACTTGCAAATAAAGTGAGGTGTGAGTTCTTTTTCTGTACATCTCTTCTCACTAAACCGTTTAATCCAAACAGACCTTAAGCCTCACATGATAGACATGAATACTCGCGTTGCGTAGATTGAGAGAGAGAGGGAGAGTGAGTGAGCGAGAGTCGTAGTGGTACCTGTTGTCAGGATGAATGGCGAGACCTTTGGAAAGGTCCTTAATACCCTTGATGACATTTTCTCTGCTGAATATCCTCCGGGCGTAGTCGAGCTCCAATTCTCTATTGAGCAAATTGAATCGACTTCCACGCGACGACTCCATTCGATCATTGACATCATCCACCTCATACTCCTCCTCCTCCTCCTCCTCCTCAACTCTAATTCCATTTGTATCCTCATCTCTTCTTCCATTTCCATGTACCATCACAACATCAACAACAACAACAAATCTATAGATCAATCTCTGTCTCTCTCTCTGTGCACAAAAACAACGATTACTATGCAATAATATTTCAATTAAATTTTCGGAATATGAATCTGAACCAATCGTGTCATTGTCATTAATCAATCAATGAATGAAAAGGATATGAAAATGAAGTTGAAGAAGACTTAACCGTGTGTAGATGATATACTTGTGGTTGTAGGAAAAAGGAAATCACGAGTAATCCAAAGCCAGAAACACGAGAAATACGGGTCGTAATAATGTGGACGTTGAACTGAAACGAAGCTTGCTTTTATGTTACAACATGATACATTCTCATTATTTCACTGAGAGAAAATGTGCCTAGAAGAGGGAGAGAGAGAGAGAGAAGGATGCAATAGTGAACAGAGTTTTGGAGAAGGAAGCAACCGTCAAAGATCGTGTAATTTTAGATAAGGATTAGCAGTATATCATATTTATACTAGCAAATTTAACACCCGCCTTCAATATATTAGGTCATGGTAACTCATCATCTATACCATGGTATATGTGAGCACAGGACTTAAGATAACTTCTTCTTCTATCACATCGTAAATTTATTATTATTTAAATAACTTATATATTATGATATTAATTTTTTCATTATTTATTTTTATATTTACTCATCTGAATTGCACATGTATTATATGTACTACCCACTAATTAGTGTAATAAGTCTAACTATTCATATTTATATTAAATAATGTGTTAATACATTTAGGTAATATAAAAAGATAGGGTATGGCTTCTGTTCAGTCCGGAATCGGACTGGATCGTGCTGTTGGATCCATGAGAGTCCATCATAGGTCCCGTTTTGATAATCTGAACCGTTCAATGTATAGAAATCGTTGAGTACTATATGCCTCTAAAAAATCACGTTGATCGGATATCGATAGCTATGTAATTAAAATAATTTTTTGTCAACCGTTAATTTGTTCACCGTCCAATTTTTTTAATACGAAACTGAATTGATCATATAGCTATCGATATCCGATCAACGTGATTTTCTACAGACATGTAATAATCGACGAGTTCTATATATTCAACGGTTCAGATTATCAAAATGGGACCCGTGGTGGGCCCCCATAAGCCCAACAACAAGGTCCAGTCCGATCCCGGACTGGACAGAAGCCATACCAAAAAGATAATTAATATAACATTACTCTTTATTTTATACAAACATAATATTTTTATTCAAAAACTTATCCAAATTACGTGTCAATGTTATTGAAATAAATTTTTTTTAAAAAACTTCATTATTTTTTTAAAATTATTTATCAGTGTTAAAAACATGTATGTATACGTGGTGTCCCGTATCAATGAAGTGCCCAAAAACAAATTATAGAAAACATCAATTTTATCCGTCTCCGACGTCAGGTTGGGTTGACACATGGTGCTCGCATCCAAAAAAAGATTTTTGAAATTTTTTAATAGATTTTAATCAGTAGATTTATTATTTAATACATCTTATAATAATTAATATTTTTTTTATTGAATATTATTAAAAAATGTTACTAATTATTAATTTTTAAAGACAGTTTGAAAATTTTGTTATAAAAAATGTCACTAATTATAAATTTTAACAGTAATTTAAAAAAATCGTTACAAAAAAATCACTAATTTTCAACTTTCAGTAACTGTTTGAAAAATTCGTCACAAAAAAATGTTACTAATTGTAAGCTTTAACAACAATTTATAAAAATCATGACAAAAAAAGTCATTAATTGTCAATTTTTAGTGACATGTAAAAAATTGTAACAAAAAATTATTTTTACCAATGATTTTATTAGTACTTATTTTTAATAGGACTTGATGAGAATTAAGTTCAACTATTAGTAGTTTACCCATTTGTTTTATCAAAAAATCTATCAAATTAATTATATTGGGTGTGGTCACACTCATGTGAGTGATTTAGTAAATTTTTTGATAATTTTTTTGGAGTATACTACAAACTTACCATTATCAACTTAGAAATTATCCAGAATCTTTATCTGGTTTAGATTTATTCTACACATAGATCTCATACTACACGAATTAATTTCTACCACACAATCACTCACTCAAATTTTCTAGGTGGGTTAATCTAGATCCATAACTTTTCTCATTTTTTTTTAGATCCGTAACATTTTTCAAATGCTTTTTCTTCTATATCTAATTCATTCTCATCACACAATTGTTCCTCACCATTCTCGGCAATTTCAAAATTTTCATTATATCGTACAATTGAGAGTAAATTACGTAAACGAAACATGAATTTTGAATATAGAGAATCTGTTTACCATCTCAGAAATTCCTATTTGTCATTCAGAAACTTTTGAAGGGTGCAAACGCATAGGTTTGTATTAACTGAATTGAATGTGGACGTATTTGTCAACCTAATTTAAGATAGAAAATTGATATACATAATCGTGTCATCATCAACTTTGTGTTTGACTGCTTATAATTGTGGCATATGACATTATGCTTATCGTAAGAAGATATGAATGACATGGTCTAATTAATTGGGATAAGAAATCTCTAATGGAGCATTTAGGTAAATAAAGTTTTAGTAGATTACATAAAATCTCAAATCATTAAAGATACTTTGGCAATTCCCCCCCCAAAAAAAAAAAAAAAACATTTTTTTCTATACTGTATTTCTATTTTCAATTTGTCAAATGAAATGAACTTGTACATACAATAAGGCCCAAGCATATGAGTTTTGGGCAAGATCCCAAATCGAGATTTTTTATATTTTAATTTTAATTTAAAAAAAAAAAAGCTCATATGAGAAAGTTATTAGATATTCTTGAAATACTATGTAATATTATTTACATGATTTTCTCAATTAATAAAAATTCATAACACAAATTGAGTGAGTCATCTTTTATTTTCTAAGTGTTTAACAAAAATCAATTAGAATATCTCAATATTTTTAAAATTCCCCACTGCATGATTGATTGATTTAGAGTATAGTACTTATGAGACTACTAAATAACTACCTACTCATGTAAACAAGTTGATGAATTTTACTATTTTTCTAATTTTATGTAATTCATACAAAATGTCATGCGTGTATAGGATCAATCATACAAAAAATATTTGTTGTGTGAATTCACATAGAATGTGGAAAAAATGATAAAATTCATGTAACAAATATATATTCGTAATAACTATTTCTTAATTTTTCATATTGTATATTTTTTAATTAAAGTTTTATTGTTATTGCTTTTCGAAATGCGTAATTATTAATTAAGTTTTTAATCAAATTCTTTCTAACATATCTTTTTGATCCATAATATCACTAAACTAATCAACTTGTTTGTGTGTGACATTGTCGATGATTAAATTATTTTAATTTTGATTTTTTTTTAAATAAAAACTTTTGTGATAAGTATTTTCAGTCGTATTTTGTAAGTAAAGCATGCATTTGGGAAAAAAATAAAAAATAAAAAAGAGGAAATAAAATTCAAATTAGTAGTAAATTTTATAAATTTTAATGATTAAAATTATAAATTTTTTTATGAATGTGAATTTATTTTGAAAAAGGTAAACATAGGTACCAAAGCAAGAAAACCATCAATATCGTTGAAAATGAGATGTTTTAAAACCTTTTGAGTTCTAAGATTAAGACGAATTTTTAAGAAAAATATCACCATCTAATAATTTAATTTTTTTTTAAAGTGAACTAGAAGGAAACCAATATTTTCAAAGGATTAAATATCTTCAAATCTGCTCTCAATGTAAAACCAAAAACAGGTTTTCTTTTATTTGAAAAATTCTAGCTAGCACATTAATTTGTTTCGTTATTTGACACAGTACACGTTTTAAAAATAAATAAATAAATAAGGGTAAATTACACTTTATCTCTTTCATGTTTGGTTATTTTCTCATTTTGACCCTTAAGGTTTATTTTTCCTCACTTAAGCTCTCATGTTTCAAGTTTTTTCCAGTTCACTCTTAAAGTTAATTAACTTCTGTTTAGAGTTAGACAGAAAATGTTACGTTAACATCCACATAACATAAAAAATTATTGTATATTATTATATTGGAATTTAAATTTGTGTTAGAGGTGTAAATTACATACAATAAAATATCTTTATACGTGACTGTTAATATGTCATTTTCTATCTAATTTTGGATATAAGTTATAGCTTTTAGAACAAATTGAGAAAATTTTGAAATATGAAGAGTCAAAGTGAAAAAAAATAATTTTTAGAGGCGAAAGTGAAAAAATAGACAAACATAAAAAGGATAATGTGTAATTTACTTAAAAAGTAAATACAAACAATTTTACGTTTTTTTATTTGATCATGTGAGGTATAACTTGCTTCATTTTTTAGCCTAGAAAGAACACTTCTAACACTTTGCCAATTTTAGAACCTTAATAGGAGTCACCACAAAGAGCATCCACACAACTTGTTAAACTCATTTCTAAACCAAAATGTAAAGCAAAAGTAGGGAAATTAACTTTTAAGAACCTCCATCAACCTCGCTACATATTTACAAAATTTGTAATTGATACAGTACATCGCTTCATGTAGCAATATACTGTTCACAAATTATATATTATTTTTTTATTTAACCACCCAGTCAACCAACCAAAGTAACTCTTTCATTTGGAAAAACTAGACACTTTTTACCAAGTGGTTGACCACTCGGTCATCCACCCAGTCGACCACAACTTCTTTTATTTTACTTTATTTATCTTTTATACAAAATTCTACCCACTTTGGACGTCTAGCCGGACAACCACTGTTGGGTATATTTTTATTTTTTTAAGGAAAATGACACTACATATATGTAGATAAACAATACAAAATTAGCAACTTCCCCAACTATTTTTTTAACAATACAAAATGAATATTTTGTAAAATTTAATTTTAGAATAGAGAGTCTGATAGAGGTGAGTATATAAAAAAAATGCTAGATCAAATAGAAAAAGTAACTTTTTGAAATTAATTTAACTCAAAATTTATTGAGCTTGATATGATACCCAAAGATCATGTTTATTTAGCTTATGATTTAAATAGTAATTCAATAGAATGGAATTAATGTTCTCATAGGGTTTTGGGATCCGCAATCCAATCTCATAAGGGTAGAAGTGAAGTACTATTTTATCCTTATTTTACAAAAAATAAAAAATAAAAAAAAATAACAAAATAACTTTCATATAAGTTTATATATTTAATCTCAATCAACATATTTCTTTCGACACTTACCCACCAAAATAGCCAATTAATATTGTATGCGTATTTATTTTGTTTATAGATAACAGAACATTGGAAAAATGTCAAATGACTATTTATACTCTTCTCTTTTCTTAGGCATGCCCACAAAAAACTGATTAGTAATTTTCATTTTGTATACATTTATTTTCTTTTCTTATCATTTTCCTATTCTTTTATATATTTTTTTTTCT